GGCTTCTTGGATATCTGGGAATAGATCCAACTGTAGAGGACACACAAAGAGTTGAACAGGCGAGATGCAGTTGGGACAGAGGAGGTGAGAAGTTACACCATAATTAAAATCATATTGATCGACTGATATTAGAGACAGTTCCAATGTATGAACCGTTTATGTGATACTCACAACACCAGTGATAAGGGTTCTAATTAGGGGCTGCTGCTCCACTCTCTCTCGGGGTGCTGAGGGACCCGGCCTTGCGTCCTCTATCTGGGGAATGTCCTCAGGTGCAGGAGGAACGGTGACCACACCGGGGGCTTGGTTAACCCTTTCTGCGTTTGGAGCTGGAGGCAGAATGAGACGAGCCTCTCCACCGTGGTGGGGGACTGAAGCTGTGGGGGCGGGAGGAGCGTGATGGTTAGCGTTCACATTAGGCACCCTGATGTTGAGGCCGCGGGCTGGCGGGACCACGCTGGAGGCGCCGGCCTGTGGCAGAGGATTGGGGACAGCCTCCCCGGGCGCCTGGCTCCCCAGGATGATCCGGTGACCTGCCTCTGGAGGTCCTAGTCTCTCTGGGGCTGCAGCTATTAGCACTGCAGGGGGTATCACCGGTATCACCTGAGGGGGCTGAGGGGCCTGGACCTGAGGCTGGGCCGGGGCCTGGGCGAGGGGCTGTGGTTCAATCTGAATGAGATTGCCCTGCATGCGATTGAGCAAGGCAGGCTGCAGCAGGGGCCTGAGCTGTAGCTGGGGTTGAGTTATTAGAGCAGAGGCTTGGATGCTCGGCTGCTGGGGAAGAACAACTAGATTCACCTCCTTTACCTGGATGAGGTGGGGCCGTAGGGTGGTCGTGGACTGGAGCTGTGTGGCTGTATTGGGCTGAGACTGCGTCTGTGTGTGAGAGTGTGCGGTTGAAGTACTGGCCTGAGGATTGTCTTGCGAATGAGTACTTGTACTAGCCTTTTCTTGAGTCTTTGTAGAAGAACTTGCAACCGCGCAAGAATAGTGTGTGGCACTGGTAGAGGTTCTCGGCTGGGGATCCACCATTACATGTGCTGAAGAGCCAGCGTGTGGCTGTATGAGTCCAGATGTGCTGGGCTGAGGCTGAAAAAGTACTTGTAAAGGTGCTCTGGATGTAGTGGCGCTAGCCTTGGCATTTGTGGAGGTAGATGGGGTTTGGGAAGAAGAAACTGCATGGAGCTCCACTTTTATATGTGCTGACGTACCGTCCTGTTGCTGTGAGTTTGTGGTAACTTTTGGCTGAGACAGTGTTTGTGAAGAAGAGCCAGGGTGTGGCTGTGTGTGTCCGGGACTGCTATACTGCACTGGTTTTCGTATGGCTGGCCTTACTGCGGAGGTGTTGGCCTTGGCATCTCTAGAGGTAGAGGGGGCAGAACCAGGGTCTCCTGTGGGAACCCCAGAAGTTGCGCTACTATGATCCACAACTTGAATTGGGTTGTGCGAGGCCCCGCTCCATTTAGCTGCTGGGCGAATCACATGTCTGCGTGCAGGAGTCGGTGGCTGCAGAAAAAAAACAGACAAATTGTTAATTGTGTTGTAACTACTGCAACTTCTGATCATAGTAGAACAAACAAAACACATGTTTACACACTAAAACTTTTACCTTTTGTGTACAAAGTAACAGGAAAAGTCCAAATAACTACAGACAATGATATATATTTAAGAACAGAGTTCATCAGTCACCTCCAGTATGCTGATGTCGTCATCATCTGCATCGTCTGGGACTAAAACTGGGCTGCCAGGTACCAGAGTCACAGGCTCCTCATCAGAGTCATCAGAAATGGTGATGAGTTCCCTCTTACGCGTACGGGAGCCTACGCAGACACAGTGTAATATCAATATTATTAATATTAGAAATATGTATGATGTGTGGATATTTATGTCTTTATGGAGAAGTAAAAAAAAAAAAAAAAAAAAAGCTTGAGCCAGTATTGAGTTTTTAAGATGAAATTATGTTGGCCAGAAACATTCTTGTTTACACCGTTTATGTTTATCTTTGTAATGGTACATTAATCCCTGTGGGGAAATGTGTCCTCTGCAATTGACCCATCCAAACTTGTTTAGGAGCAGTGGACAGCCACAGAGCAGCGCCCAGAGAACAGCTCCAGTTCTGAGGTCAGTGTCAAGGGCAAGAGTAAAGGAGACTACAGGGCCCATATAATGTGGCAGAACTTTAGAATGTAGTCTTTACACGCTTTAGTAAAACAGACAGCAATAACGGTGGTAAAATAGTAAAATAGTGTGTAAAGGTCTACCAAAGCCAGAATGTGTTATGTGATTGGTTAGTGGAGCTTTCCAGCACTCAGAAATATTCTGGTTCCTTATTTTCAAGGTACAATGTATATATGTATGTTTAATAGCCCAACTGATACAGGATTTGTAAGTCCGATATTGATATTTGTGACTTTAACAATTCCTATAATTTCGATAAGATTCCCTTAAAGTTGTTATATAACAACTGCAAAGCATACAATTCAAAACATAAAATTAGCATTCCTGCACTTAAATTTCTCAATATTAATCGGCTGACATACACAACGATATGATACATCTGCAATAAGCAATGAGATCATAGCCGATCAGACTCAGGAACTGAAAGTATATACAGTATGAGACAGGTCAGCTACAAGACTCACATTTCTAATTTCTTCCGGCGCTAACCTGAGTTTTACAGAGGTGCTGATATATTTATAGAAAATCTTTGTAGGAAAAGCAGTAAAGTCTTTACAGTAAAGTTCCTTATTTCTCACGAAGTGTTTTCATTTTCACTAAGGATGACATTCCAATATTTAACATTTAAATAAATGTGACACATCTATTTATATACGTCACGGCACACAGTAATGTTGCTTACCATTAGGAACCACAACCTTGAAACTATGTGGAGTATATACTGGTATATACTGGAAATGTTGTAATACCAGGACCAATATGACAAAGAAAGCGTGTCAGCCTCATTCAGAATCCACAGTGGCATGTGCAAATGGCAGCGTATTGTAAGATGTCATACAGTAATACAAACTAGCATTAGAATACATCACTGAGGCATATTGACCCTCTGATCTTGTGTGTGAGAGATGCACACCGCTGGTTGTACGTGTGTGTGTGTGTGTGTGTGTGTGTGTGTGTGTGTGTGAGGATACAAAAGGTGTGTCTGACCTTGGCTGCGGTGGACGTTGAAGCTTGCCAGGTGAATGACATCGTCATCGCTGCCTCCATCTGCCATTGTGAAACTACACTTGCCAGCTCCCTGAATCAGCCCAGACAGAGTCACTGCTCAATCAATACCATCTACTCCACACACACACACACACACACACACACACACACACACACACACACACACACACACACAGTTAAAGCTGGTATTCCCCTGGAACTTTAACAAATAGTTTCACTTCAAAATGTAGGACTTGTCATAACATTTACCAAACTTGAAAAGGGTTGGACTCCACCCTGGCACCATGAACAATCTCACGACACATGGTTAATAAAGAACACATTATATACTAATATCCAATGTTAGCCAAAGAGAACTTAACAAAGAGGAAGCTTATGATGAAGAGGAGAACTAAAAGCATGAAGGGCAGGATTAACATCAGCTAGCAAACTGAGAGTTCATGTGTTGATACTGGGCCAACTTGATCCCACAAGAATAAGCTGAAACATTCACTCCGTCATCTTCCCGAGCTAACCCAGCCCTAGCTGCTCTACATCTGATCAAAGTTGGCGTGAAATCAATGTAAATCTGACATGTTGTTACACAGCCAGACGCTAACACTGCGAGAGGCTGGCAGTGTTGCAATCCTGGCTATATGGACTTGCGTTGCGTTCATCACCCTGACATAAGGCTCAACGCTGTATTATTAGCTTAAAGTTGAAGATGCTGTGGCTAAAAACAAACACGTCAGGACGGCGATCGATCATTTCCGCGCAGAGAACAAACCCACTGCTCTCAGCTAAGCTAATGTTCATTAGCTTGGCTTGCTAGCTAGCTAGTGGGTTAAGTAGTTAGCTCCCTCCTGTCGGGATTCCCACCCATAACACTGCCCCGTAACAATCGCGTACAGTCTGAGATCTAGGTGTGGAAAATACATGTGCAGGTGAGAACAGTACCGCAGCTCGGTGTGGGGTCGGCAGCGTACAACGGCTCGTTGGTGGACTGACAATCCGAGAGGATCGAAACAAACTGCCAAAACAAGAACACAGCAACGTCACGCGTACAATGCCTTCCGCTACGTGCGGGCGGGCGGCGGCCCTCTGGGAAATGTAGTCCCAGAGCGTTCCAGACACTGTAGTTCCGCTCAAGGCACATACACCCAGTCCCTGGACAGCGGATAGATGCTATTTATATGTGGAAAAGCCACAAGAGGAGCAGACAGTCCTTCCTCCGAGCTCAACAGCATCATTATGGAGCTACTAAGGGTCACGTTCAAAAGAGAAAGGACATTAAAGTCATACACTAAAAATATAATTGTGGTGTAACTGAAGGGTGTGATTCCTAAATACTATATCAATCATTTGAAATATTTAAATAATAAAGGGAGAAAACATCAAGGACAATCTGTATTTCCAAATGTGAGAGTCCTACATTATATTTTTTATTTAAACCCATCAAAAGGTACCTAATTAGATTAGATTGAATCTAATCTAACTTTATTGTTATTGCACAAGTACAGGTACAAGGCAACGAAATGCAGTTAGCATCTAACCAGAAGTTCAAAGCAGTAAAGTGCAGAGTAATGTGCATATGTACAAAAATATGTAAAAAAAACAAAAAACGTAATAATAACATTTGTTATGAATATACTAACAGAATGAAGTAGTGAGGTGAATACACTAAGATATATATGGCAATTAAGTTACGTTATTTACAATATTAGACTGACATTATATACATTATTAAGTATTAGAGACATTTATATAGTGTGTGTTAGTTTAACTGATGTGTATTCATATAAACAAAGAGAATAATGCACACACAACACAAGGAATGTATTTTCAATTTAATTTCTTTTAATATAATCTTATTTACATTGTATTTTTTCATAAATGTTTAGTACATAGTAAGTTACAATACTCTTGCATCCATTACACAGTGAACTTAGAACCTAGAAAATGCAGATTGAAATAGTACTGCTTAACAGTCTTTAATATTCAATCTACAACAGATCCCAACTTTTTCCACATTACTCACTCAACATTTAGGTTTTTGATTTCATTCACTTCTATGGAGGATTAATGACTTTGTTCATTCATGGTGGTCTTGAGGACGATGACTACTTTTTCTAACATTCAGGCTATGGAGAAAAAGAGATTGGCAGAGAAACATCAGGGCCACAAAGAAAAAAAAAAAGAAGATGGTGAAATGGATGATGAAACATGTATGAAAGGCTTATGAGATTTTATTATACATGTCACATACAACCCAATAATTCCTGAAACTGACTCCATCTTTCAGTCCCCATGGCTCATTTTGTTAAATATCCAGGTCATGCCCTTTGGACCTCTCCATACCGTCAGTAGAGTTAAGATTTTAAAATTAGGGCTGGGAAGATCAATCCCTTTCACATCAAATAAATGTAACATGGTATTTAAAACACCAAAACACTAACAGTTCTCATACACTGACAAAAACATATTTCTCCGCAATAATATGAATGTTAAAAAAAATGTAACAAAATTCAATAAAACCCACTTTGTGGATTACTTGAATTGCAAGTGAATTGACCCTTCAACTCTGGTAGAGGGGGTGGTGAAGAGATTAGTGTGGGCTCTTTGTAGAGCATATAGCAGCTTGGTCAGTAATCACTTAGTAATAAATAATAAAATATCAGAGTGGATCAGAGTGGTCGCAGATACAAACGGAAGAGACAAAAAGTCAAAACAGAGGAGCAGGCTCATTTTGATCATTTTTACAGCGTAACCGGGTGCCATGCCTGACACAGACACACACGCACGCACGCACGCAGACACACAAAAGTACAGTCTCACTCTATCGCCGTCTCACATGCACTCACACACACACACACCTACATGCACACATTCTGATACACGACAGTGGTTAAACATGAAGCATGAATACTAGTCAATCAATCAGCTCGTCAGACAGAAAGACAAATCAGCCTCCGCCTCGTTCTTCACATGTCTGATTTTCAAAGTCTCTGTTCGCAGGCTCGCATGTGATTGGCTGATTCTGTCCGGAGACTCAAGTGTGTTGGGAGTCGAATTCGCTGTGGCGGTAGGCATTCTGAAGAATGACATCATAGCTTGTTAAAACTGAAGGATAAAAATGCTTCTTCAAAACATCTGAAAAAATTTTAAAATACTTTATTTTTTTTGTTTGTTTTTCTGTTTTTTCCCCTCCTGCTGTGCTTCCTCCTTTAACCCCCCAACAGTTCGGTGGTGAAGAAGGTGGCAAGAGACCGCATGTGTCCTTGTGATGCTTGGCCACTCCGTATACTCTGCGCATACTTGATATTCTGTTCATGTGTGTGTAAATATGTAAAATGTCAAATAGGTTGTGTGCAAGTGCAAGCGCAAGTGTCACTGTATGTATGTTGGTTTAGTTGTGGAGTCATCACTCCACAGCAAAGCCGCAGGTCTCCTCCACAGCCGTCAGCAGTTTCTCGTAAAGTTTCTCGTAAGACTCGTAGGGAGGGATGTCTATCCGGTTAAAACTGAAGACAGAAAAGGATAATTAGTGGCATCAAACCTGACACTTTGGCAAATATTAAAAAAAGAGAAGCCTGCGTCTTCTTCTAGGTTTCCTTACCACGTGTGAGCTTTGGGCAGGTTGTCTGTGTTGGCGTCTATCAAATGGATGGTGAAGAGCCTTGGTCCTGCAGAACCTGTAGAACCTTACACACATACATTCTAGTTATCACTGCTCTACTCTGGTACACAGAGAACTCATCAGTCTTCAAATGGTACAGTCTCAAAGATAAAAATAGTTCACTAATTTTTTCATTTGATTGAAAAATTTAAGAAAAGAAAATGTATGTGATTTAAGTAAGTACAAGTGCACATTAAACTTACAGTATTTTGATTATTGATTAATTGTTTTAAGCAAACAGCCAAAATAGTTTGTTGTTTCTAGCTTCTCAAAAGAGAAAACTGCTGAAAGGTTTTGTTTGTCTGAGTAGTGAACCAAGTATATTTGAGTCCATCTGGACTTTTTCACCAGTCTCGTACATTTTATAGACCAAATTATTAAAAATAATTAAAACTAAACAAGCGATAGATTAATCGATCATGAAAATAACTGTTTGCTGCACCCCTAAATTAATATTTGTATAGCTGTAAGATTAATCAAGTCTGTAGGTAACTCCATGCCCTATATATACACACACAAGTTAGAATGTATATATAGGAGTAAAATGTCCTCAATAGTGTACCATAATTAAACTTAAACATAGTAAACAGGGATTGTTTTCTTTTCCTCTTTGCCTTTGCTGTAACTTTCTTTAGTTAGGAAGACGGACCAAATGTTAGCATCAAATGAACATAGCTGGTGTGTGTAACAGTAAGTGTGTGTGGCCTCTGAGCCAGTCCATGACCCACCCTGCAGCGCTTTGAACCCCTGTAAGGGGACTCTGGTGGAGCCTGTGACGAACTGCAGGAGGCGTCCTCTCCTCTCCTCACTGAAGGCCTCCACCGCCTGCCAGAACCACCGCACCACGTTGCTTTCACTTGTGCAGTGCTTCAGACGGGTGTTAGTCTTCCAGTCTGCAAGATCTATCTTCCCAAGTCCGCCGATGATCAACTGGGTGGAGGGTGAAGAGGGAGAGGATTAAAATGAAGCAATGGCCAATGAAGAAGAACTTTACTGTCCTCCTCTTTGTGTGTCCAAAACTAGAATAATTTGACTAAAATGACTATTAGGACATTCATAGATTTCATCCTGATCACAGGGGTATTGTTCACAGACAGCACATGTACCTCTAGTTCTTTATGGTCGAAAGGCTTGAGGAGGTGTTGGGGGATGAGCTCACTGAATCCCTTCTGAAGAGCCAGAAACTGGGCTTCAATTCCACGCATAAACCTCCAGTTCACATACAGTCTGAAAAAGACAAATGAGGCAGGCCAAATAAATATACTGCAATAAAGTGGCAAAGTACTGTACACAATAACTCTCTGCAGACAAGATGGTACATTCTTTACACTCTGTATCAAGGGCACAGTTTGTATAACACAAACAGAAGTGTCTCACTGTTCTTACCTCACATATTCTTTTTTGTTGTCCTCTGTGACAGGGATATTGCGGCCATTAGGTTTGAGTTCATGTTGTAAGAACTTCCCAAAGGCATTGTGCTCCACGCAGAATGTGTGGTCAAGGACTGAAGTGATGTCGTTCTCTCTGCACAAAGAGTATTACAATAAGTTAACACTGAAATAGAAACCTCCAGAGGGGATAAGCGCAGGATATGAACTAAGAAACAGTTCACAATAAAACAATGTTTTTTAACAAAGCTCTCTGCATGTTCATTTGCTTACAATATCCAGACGAGGCTCTTGTGCAACTCCGGGTCGGTGGTCTCCAGGTCATTGAGCTGGATTGGTTTGCCTAGCAGCTGTTTGTAGAAGGGTAGCGTGAAGCTCCCGTTGATGTAGTGACCATGAAAAACTGCCAGGCCCATCACACGACCCACAAAGTGGAAATATGACAGGTGGTCCTGAAAGACAGTAACACAGACGGAGAGACGGACAGAGGCAGAGCGTCAGAGAGATTCCCCTTATTCAAATCAGCCGTGAAGTGCTTTGTGTGTTTTTGTGTACTCACAGGGTTGATAGAGGAGTCGGGGTTGATCTGTAGTGTGTAGATATTGTCTGTGGAGTACTGGAACAGGCCGTAATAGGGGTTCAACATTTCATGACACAGCAGGTACAGCCACTCCCTATAGACAACCACCACAATGTAAACAAACTTTCAAAACTCACATAGAAACTTGGTGACACAATTATGAGCAAGAAATTGAAAAACATTTGATTATATGATGTAGTCTAAGTCCAATGGAGTCTTCTACAGTTTAATGAATAGAGGCACTTTTGCTAAAACATCTGTCTCTCTTGCTGTATTGGTTTTTAAATTATAAAAGGTTAATGGATGTAAAGGTAATGCTGCCAAAATGTCCAATGTATTACTTAGTTAGTTTTAATGTCCCATTTTGATTACAAAAGTGACTAATTAAACTTGTTTGCAGACCCAGTGAAAGCTGCTTCAGCTCATGATTTTAGTGTCAGAGCGGGTACACTGAGCACACTCATTATTTCAAAGCTAACTGACACTTAGACAGGGTCGCTTAAAAGTAGGAAGATCAATACGGTCAATACTGGCCAAGGAGCCAGAGTGACCTGGCCTACCCTCGTCTATTAGAGTTGCAACACAACAATTAGTTTACGGTTTTCAACTGTTGCATTCTAACTATTTCTAAGTGCGATGAAAGTACTTATAAATGTACCACTTGGACTTAAGTTAGCTGGGAGAGAAAAGATGGACTTATGACATGCTAATTACCTGGCTACCCCACCATAGTCCAGGCCCTCCTCTCCCCTGAACTTCACCATCAGACGCTTCTTCAGGTCTTTGGGCCTCATCTTCATTATCTGCCGATACGACTCCTTCATCCGCACACAACATTAATGCGTAACAGATGGACACACACACACACACACACACACACACACACACACACACACATTAAACAAAAGACAAAAGAAACAATTAGTGACCCACAACACAACCCTTTAAATCAGTGATGTTCTGTTAGTTTATTAAAAAGCTCAATCAATGCTTCCTTTCTGCTCTGCTACAGAGAAACACGCTGAAAGAATAGCTTGTTTTGACTGGAGCATGAGTCATCAAGAGTGTGGATGTGTCTGTATGAATGTAAACCTCCACAGGAGCTACTCACTCCATCCACACTGCTTTCATAGCTCGACTGCAAACACATTTTTACAAATGTCTGATCTGTCTGTCTGATCTATCTGTCTGTGTGTGTGTGTGTGTGTGTGTGTGTGTGTGTGTGTGTGTGTGTGTGAGTGAGAGAGACGGTATCATTGTCTGGTTATGTGCCGTTGAGATTTCTTTAAACAGGGTCAGTCATTTTGTTTCTTCCTGGTTTGACATTTACACCCACCTCAAAGATCTCCTCTCGGGAGACCTCTATGCGACAGTGTCCTGCTTGAGGCTGCTGCAGGGACAGTTCGTGGCGGAGCAGCTTCAACTTATGGACCAAGTCTCTCTCGTAGCGCGCTGCCACATCTCCATCTCCTCCTCCTCCACCCACTCCCCCGCCTCCCACCTCCTCACCCCCCACATCCATCTGGGGGGCTTGGGAGGATTCCTTCGCTTGGGATTGCTGGCTGGAGGTGGGGAGAAATAGAGGAGGACAGGGAAGAGGCAACATGACGAGAGGGAAGAATGACAGGCAGGAGATAAAGAGTTGATGAAAAAGAAAATCCAGACTAAATTACACACTGTGCATTCACACAGAGAGGATAAATCTACCATGAACCCACATTTCTGTAAATCACTTGTTTCAGCATTAACAGAGCTGATGACTGTTAGTAGGTCATGTCCAGAACCAGTCTGAGTCCAGCATTACGGCCGTGAGAGATCAGATTAACGGCAGCTTAGTCCTGAAACCTTTTATTTTGTATGTGTCAGGGATGTCTGCCACCCAGGGTTAGATTGATTTTGCTGTAAGTATTTCAGCTGTGTGTGTGTGTACCTGTACCTGATAATTGTGTGTAGGCGCGGGTCTGTGAACTGTGTGGTTCGGTTGTTGTGGTCCACAAAGTAGATCCGGCCTGACACGGTGCTTCGGACCTCCCAGCCCACTGGCAGCGGCCCAAGCTCCTCGCAGCTCACACTGGCCAGGTCCCTGCACCAGCAACAAGGAACCAGACTGAGATCTTGGCCAGCAGCACAAATCCACTGCATCCAGACCTCTTGTCTCCAACAATCCTGACCCTACATACTGTATGTTCTTAACCCCTCATACGGACCTAAACCTAAAGATTTTCTCTTAATCTGTTGGTGTGATTAGTGCAGAGCAGGTGATGTACACAAGAAAGTAGTTACCCATTTTCATACATTTAGAAATACATTTTTTAGTTTGAATGTGAAAGTTCCCAGTTATCAAAACAGAATCATTCTTTAAACTACATAGCAGTACAAAGATGCTGTAAGTATAATCCACAGTATAACCCATGCAACTTTATGGCCTCTTCCTCTGCTGCTGCAATGACATACTTCAGTCTCAGTGGGGTTTATTCAAAGTTAATCTCATTTCAGGTTATGCTTCATCTACACACAAGTGAAGTGGTGAAGGGTGCTATCCTACCGTGGTATCCGAGGGTCGTGCCAGGTGCTAACACCTGTCTGTGTGTGAAGAAAGTACACCTGGCCCTGCACTGTCGTTCGCTGCTCTGTTTAAAAAAAAAAGAAAACAAAGAAAGGTGTTGACTTTGTAAATACAACAGAAGAGATTTAGAGTAACAACAACTCTTGAGTTCAGAGAGTTATGTGAAACATAAACCCCCAAAGTGTTTGACTGACCGTATCCCTCCGGCAGGTCAGGCGGTTGGTGCCCATGAGGTCTGTTCTGAGGGGTGTGGCCGTGGCCTCTCGAGTCCTGCCCTCTGATCCGCTGTGTCTGAAGACGGTTCTCCTGGCTGGGTGAGTCAAGCCGACAGTTCCCGCCCCCCGCCGCACCAGTGGGGTCGGAGTAGGGCAGCGGCTCTTCGCTGAAACATCCCTCAAACACAGGCCTACACACAAACACACACAAACAAACACACACACACACACACACACACACACACACACACACACACACACACACACACACACACAACTGAAGTTCTGTTTTCTCTGCTTTAGTAGAATCACATGATAGCCTAACTGCTTTTTATTTTGAACTCAGAGTAACAAAGACTGGGAGAGGATCAAACAAACAATAATTATGACTAAACTGATCTTGCAACACAACAAGCACCAAAATGGGTCTCAGTCCTACTTCACATTGGATCCCATCATGGCCAAGAAGAGACTAGGAATTAAAATAAGACTGAATCTTATATATTAAGAGTTTTCTGACATTTTGGTCATGTGTGGTTGACATTACATTAGATTACATTACAATATACAGACGGATAAAACCTGAATGCTATGGACTTTGCGGTTACCAGATCTAAACCCAGTTGAACAGCTATGGGAGATTTTTGTCCCAAATGTGGGAATATCTTTTGGAAAATATCTATCTGTGTTTCAAACCTTGCTACGCTTTTGGCTGGTATTTGCCATGTATTTCTGTTAGCTTTCGCCACTGTTTGAGAAGTAAACATCACTGTAAAAGTAAACAGGACTGACTGAGACAGTTCTTTCATCTATCTCTACAACTTACAACTGAGAAAGAGACACAGAATAATCTATGAAACATATTCAAACCATTAACAGAGTGCGATTGTTTCTTTAAAGGTTGCCTGGTGACACACTCACCCATCGTTTTCTAACAGTCCTCTGCAGTCCACCACAGGGCCTCCGCTGCCAATGCGGTCTCGTGTCTGTAAGCTCACTGGAGACAAGCAGGTGGTAAAGGTCAGAGAGATGACAGTGTGACGAGAGGGCCAAATATGCACATAGTGCGAGAAAGGCAACATAGGGAGAGGGTCATCTGTACAGATAATGTATCCGTGCGTCCAGCCTTACCTACAATCTGCCCCCGAACTGCGTCACTATCCGATGGGTTCAACTTACATAGATCTAGACGCTGGTCTGGAAGATGAAGAGAAAAGGAAACACATTCAAATCAAAAGCTTTTCTTGTTTAATCATCATCTGTGAGCATGTATGCATTTCTGTGTATTTCAAATCAGAGGGCAGGAAAAAAAGAGGACAGACTTACATCCTGTGTCTTTTAGCCTGCTGATGGCGTTGGAAAGAAGTCGTATGCAGCCCAGGAAACCCGCCCCCTGTCGTTTATGGATCTTTTTGTGGTTCCATATACTGATGGTTATGGAGTCTGTCTTTCCAATGTAGCTGAAAAAGAGAAACATCATAACATTTGCACGTGTCCACTCCATGTTTTACAGCACAGTCGAGAATGAATGTCTTGAGAAGACAAATCTTAAATTCTGTCACCTGAAGCTGAAGGATACAATTGGATTAAACAATGGAGATATACGTCTTTACTGCTATGTTTCAATTAGAGTAAAACACCAAAATCAGAATCAAGAAAACCTTCATTAAATAAAAATGGATTCAGTATATCAGTGTGCGGTGCATTGGACTCACAGGTCGTAGTGCTGATTCCATTTGGGGTCCAGTGTGCTCTTGACTGTGTCTGTTGAGTGGCATTGACCCGATCCGTCCACCACAACCTTGGCAAATGGATCTGGCAGGCCTGCATGCACACGGTTAAAATTGTTTTAATAATTGTTTTAATAATTGTTTACATCCTACATATCAAATCACAAAGACGACAATATTGCGGTATTAGAAACATCTGAATTGGCTCAAGTACTGTAGATCTCCACAGCAAAGCCAAGCTTTTCTACTACAGCAGACATACAGCAGTCTTTGTTCTTATCTGTGGCATAACGGAGTCTGTCCTGCAATTTGAAAAACCTCTAACACAATAACAGCATATTCCATTAGTTTGTTACTTTTATTTAACAGTATCTGGAGTGCATGATTTAATTGCAGCATGGCAAAACTGGTGGAAATGAATATCCTAATCCTGACAGTCTTACGCTGACAAACTGATTGTGGGTCGATTGCTGCAGCTGAGTAACACCAATGCCAATTTGTTTACAACGCTGCTTTTGATCACACACACACACACACACACACACACACACACACACACACACACACACACACACACACACACACACACACACACACACACACACACACACACACACACACACACAGCCCTTATTGAAACACATCGTGTATGTATACCAACTGTGACGCAAGAATCATGCACATGATAATGAGCACAATAAAAAGGTACTTACGAAAGAAGTCTTTCTTTGCGAGGTTCTTGGCACATAATACTGTAAAAGAGAAAATCATTATGAACAAAATGCCACACACACAAATATGTAAATGATGTTACAGAGTGTAGGCTGGTATAAATATATGCTTGAGCACATTAAAACTGTGTGAGGAGGAAGAATGCTGGTTAGAATAATATATGAATGCCAGAGGATGGTAATGAGCAGGAAAACTTATGTGACATGCAGACAAGAGAGACCGGTAAAGTATAGGCTAGTGTCAGGATCACTGCACACACAAACACACACACACACACAGGCCGCCCACAGTGCGAGTGGCAGAATGCCGTCTCTGCCACATCATCTTTATGGATTCAGAGAGCAAAGCTCAGACTGACCAAGACTTTTAAAGAAGTATTTAGTTTATTGTGTGTGTGGGTGTGTGTACAATTTCTTGTTATTTCTTTGCCCGTACGGTGCGGGCGCTGGCATGTGTCACTCTGGGTCAGCGCAGCAAGCACTGCTGTAACACTAAAAAACACAACTGAACCACAATACACCACTTTTTAGAAAACACAATGATGTCCAGTCACAAGTATGAGTCGTGATTATAGGTCAGTGTGGGCATTGAACAAAAACAAGCTGCATGTTTGTATTCAATGCTGATGTAAGGCACTCAAAAAGTGACTGCAACGTGAGGTGTAATTGACATGAAAACAATACTAATATTTACACTGCAGGTCTCAACATCCACTTTTAAAAAACACAGAATTTTAAGCTCATTGTTGGGAATCTTTTGTGGTCAAAGAATGTGCATAAACATGTCCAATTTGCTCTCGAGGTAACCCCATCTCTTTAAGAAACACAAGACGTTGTGATTTCGTGGTCAGCATCTTCCATCCTACCCCTATGCCACCAGATCACACCGACAAACAGCCAGACTTCTGCCCTTTTTGCAAACTTCTTGTGGCTGCAAAGCGTTACAGACTATGGCTACTCTCTAGGAATTATTTCATAGAAAGTCACAGAATGACTGAATGAATGAATATCAGTGTCATGTATGGTGCGTCTACAAAGAAACCCCTGCTGATCAATGGAACAGACACCTGATGATTAGGTTTAATGTTTAATACAACAGAACATATGTCTAGAGCAGCATGTAAATACCTCATTATCTATAGTGGATCAGGGGATGCAAGGTACTCCGGGGCATCACCAGCATGTGTGCGGGTATTAGATTACCATTTGGATTTCTCCCTCTAGCTCCAGCAGGTAACTTTCATTTCATTAACATTGACTGACAAGTAATTAAATAAATTGTCATGGTGTTTGGTGGCAAGAAACAAGTAGGGGAATGTGACAGGATTCTTTTCTTTAGAAAAACCTTTGGCCCCATTTCAAAGACACACAAAATAAAGGAGCCCATCTGACCAACGAGGTGGAACGTCACCTTTATCCAGTTTGACAGCGGAGACGGGCTAGGAGGGGGAGGAGTATCACCCCCTACGTTGGTTGAATTATTGAAGGATCTCTTTCCTGTGCACATTTACTTAGAGCTTTAAATTGGGTTTCAGGCATTACTACAATTAATGCTGTAACAACTAGCTGACTAATCAATTAGTCTATTTCGATAATCAATTCATCATAAAATATTTTTTTCAAGCATTTGCTGGTTCCAAATTCTCCAGTGTTATGGTTAGCTGCTTTTCTCTGTTTTAAATATATTTGGGTTTTAGACGGTTGATGGTCAAATAAAGCAAACTGCTTGAATGTCACCTCGGACCCTTTTTTGAATGAACTCTATAGGTTAATTGCTAACGAAAGTAACTGTTAATTGCAACCCTAAATACAATCTCTGCTAACTGAGCAATGGTCGGGTTATAGTGCAGACATTTCAGGGATAAAGATTGGTCGTGCTGTCTTGGCTCAAAGAAACAAAAGCATCTCATGATCTATTTAAACTGGTCCTAACTGATTTGCTACACCACCTGAGCCGTTATCGTGGCTTTGAGGTCCAATTAAAATCTGGCATGGTTTGGTTTGGCCCAGACAGCCATCTAGGAAGTTATTCAGTCAGCCAGTGGTTTAGGATGTGGAGACTGTGCGGTGGCGTAGATGTGTCTGCCGTAGCCGGGTTTATTTCCTGTGATTAACCCATTGAGAATGGCTGCAGGATATCCTTCCCTCTTCCTCATCAACCCCTTCCACTCCTTCTCCTCCTGACTCACACATTCCAGACCCAGACCTCATCTTTTCTGCACAGACACAATGAAAGAAACCCAGCTAGAGAGGGAGTGAATCAAGTTTCTAATTTGCCCCTGCCTCCTCTTTCAGACAAGCAGTAGAGGGAGACTTCCTCTGTCACTGTCCACCACTCTCCCCCTCCAATCTCTTGCCAGAGACAAAGGACACCCCTAATTTCACCCCATCTCTCTTTTTCCACCTCTTGACCAGCTCTTCTGTGGCACTGAATGTTTGACAGGCCCTTTCTCCGTGTCTCAGGAAATTCCTCATTCTGCCAAGGTCACGGCTGGTAAAGACACACACAGTTACAGCTCAGCTGGTTCTCCATTTCCCCACTGCCGCTTTCTTTTTTGGCATTTATGTTCTTTCTTTCTTTCTTTCGTTTTTTTTTAACTGAGAGCTGGAGAGAGCCAGCGGGGGAAGAATTCTATTCATCCGATCTTGAGGGAACAAGCAGAAAACAGTTCAGGAGAGATGATGAAAAGCTGAGCTGCTTCTGTGCCACGCTAGCAGCTCCTCAAGGAATCTGAAGTCACAACATGCTTCTAGCACAATCAACCATCTCCCGAAAACATTTCGAGGGTTTGTAATTTTGTTCTACTCTTCCCATATGCAAAGAGAGCACTTGATATTCTCCAGGCAATGTCAGGAAGCATAAAACTGCAGGAGCTTGGAAGATCATTACAACTTCTTAAATCACAAATACTGGTCAAGTTCTTGAAGATGTCAAGGCGCGGTGAACTCTCTGCTCATTAGTATCAATAAGCGTGATCAGAGATCTAGCCAAAAACAGATTAATACTAAAGATCCTTCTGGGACTGACTAGACTCAACTGTGCACTCACAGATTTACAAGTGAGGTAAAGTGACCCATGTGAGATTACAAGGATGTAATTTCCTGCCTAACAGTCTTCTCTTCTCAGCTCCAAAAACAAAGCAGAGGACAGCGGGCACATGGGCAAACATCACACCTACTTAATAACATGCCCTGTACAAGCACCCAAACATACACACACACACACACACACACACACACACACACACACACATACACACACATACACACACACACACACACACACACACACACACACACACACACACACACACACAAGATGACAAATGGGCGTCTGTGCTTATAGTCACAAGCAACATCAAAAAACAACATCAGCCACTTTTGTGCTGTATCTGCCTCATTGGGGTGTTTGTTTGAGCAATCTCTCCATTCTCAATTTCTGTATTTATTTTGTGTCCTTTTGTGAGTGTATGTTTCTGCACATGCTGCCGGCTCAGTAAGTGAGCGGATTAGAAGTGCTTATGCTGCCTCCAAGTAAGTAGGATTCCCCACTTTCCTCTCTCTCTCTCTCTCTCTCTCTCTCTCACGTTAGCGTCTTATCGTGACCTTTCCCTCTATTTTGTCCTTTTAGTTATTCCTCATTCTTTCACTTTTCTGCCTTTGTCTGTTCTATTTCTCTCCGTCGCTGTCCTGCGAGTATCCCTGTGTCCCCTGCTGTCCTAACGCTGCCCCGTTTTGGCTCTTGTGCAAGTCGGTGTTCAATCCGACTACCTGGTACCAAAACTTAAGCAGCATGTGTTGCTTCCATAAGCAAATCAACTTTATCCTGCTGAATCACTGATTCTTTCCATCATTAGACAGCGTTTTTCCCACAATAAAGCTCATTCATTTCCAAACAAAAACAAACCGTTTTCTGCTTTCTGACCCATTGATTCTTAAAAAAACACAACCAGAATTGGGCTCGGTGTTGTTTGAAAAGTTTTGATGTACAAGTACCCAGAACACAGTATAAAATCAACTAAATGATTACTTACTTATCAAATAACAACATCAATTAACAATACTAAGATTCCACTTCCTACACACAATTTCAAGCATCGCTATTCAATTCAAAGTCTTAAACCAGATGTGTTAGAGCCATAAGGACATGACAACCACCTCTTGGCTAGCTACAACATGTCCATATAAACTCAACACAGTCTCTGAAATCTGAACCAGTGTCAAACTAGCCTGGTCTTTGTCTGTGTCCCTGCCACAGACACACACAGGCCTTTTTAATGTAGGCCAAACAACCCCTCTCTCTGACAGACTAAACAGAGTGCTGGCCAACCAAGCAGCATTGCACTCCCATTGGCTCATCGCACATTCCTCACCCAATTAGAATTCCACTCATACCTGTGGAGGCGGGGCACAGTCAGGGGCAATAACCTTTGTTTGTGTCCAAACCGATATAATGAGTGACTGGTTTACACACACACACACACACACACACACACACACACACACACACACACACACACACACACACACACACACTCCACAGTCTAAAACATCCACACACACTTTCTGCTTATCTGAAACAAACATTGTCTGATGAATTTCTTGGTGTTATTTACCACATCACTTATATTGGATATACTTTGTTTGTACAGACCCCTATTCCAATACTGATGGATGAAAGTACTATTATGTATTTCTTATTACTTTTGAACTAAAGTTACAACTAAGGGATTATTTTCTTAATGAATCTATTACTAGCTTGATCTTATAAATGCAGATTGTGAAACATAATCAACAATCGCACGTTCCCATAGTCCATAGTGACAACTTTAAGTTCAATTCCAAAATATTTTGAGTTTATTATCATAGAGGACTCACAAATCCAGACAATGCTCACATTTGAGAAGCTGGAATTTCTGCTAAGTAATGTACTATTATGTGCCAGTCATTTTTTAGATAGCATTTAGGAACTTTTGCTCAAAAATCATCCATCACAACCATACACTTAATGTGCCCTCCAATACGTTTTAAGTCTACCAGCAAGCCAAATGTTAGTGTGTTTGCTCAATTTTAAAATCAGAAGAAGGACAAGGAGTCTGGCCAGCGGCAGAGAGAGGTCATTTCCATTTGAATAGAGGCCCCTGGGTGCCCAGTGGGGTTACATTAGCTACAGTAAAAACCATTGTTCCAGCTGTGCCCGTATGTGTTTGTGTGTGTGTGTGTGAAAGAGAGAGAGAGAGACAGAGAGAGAGAGAGAGAGAGAGAGAGACTCCTGTGTGCCCTACAGAGGAGACAGTGACCCAATAAAACGAGCACAATATCTGAGTTGAGTACAGGGTGCCCAAAAAGAGCAAACGTGTCAAGCCTCTGTGAGTGAGGCTCCGTTGACCGGCTCAGACGTTTGTCTTCCTCCAGCTGACACAGCAGCGAAATGCCAATCGATACACAGACATGGATAATCTAGGCTAGCATGTCAGATCTACCGACTGATTGATTTTCAGAGAGGCTGTACTTCGACATTTGCCTTCATCCCCGGTACACAGCTCGTCGCATTCAGGTCAAGCGACGGGTTCGGCTGGTGGTCAGCCCCCCCCAAAAAATATGGGTGTAGCTAGCAAGCGTTAGCGGTCAACATTAACTACAGTGTTACTATTAGCTAACGCTAGCTAGCTAAGTAGCAAGAGCTAGCAATTGATAAAGTTTCTGAACGTGGCTTTGGAGAGCCAGCGGTTTCAGTGACACGAAAAGAGGCGAGTAGTCGGGTGTCTCGGCTGTGAAAGCCCCGGGATAGTGGACAGCTTATTCACTGTCCTCTCGGTAATTTGGTTAGCATCCCAGCTAACAGGCTAGCAGTTGTGCTGCTGTGTTTGCCACCCAAAAACCGGATGTTTGGGCAAACAGCAGAGCCGAGAGCCTCAAACACACTCCGTGGTGTCCTGTTAGGTTTGCTAAGATCAACACTTTACAACTGTGGTTTGTGAGTGAGACATTCAAGCTCCACTTAAAACCTGCACCGTAAGCGCTTTCTTTTTCTCCTTTCTTTTTTTTTTTACCTGTCAGTCGGATTTTGATGCTGGACCCGTTCCTCCGAGTCCCAGGATTCGACATCACTCCGGGAAAAACGATCACACAAACTTCCCGTTGGAGTCTCCCCGAAACACAGTTTCTCCACTCAATGGGAACGCGAACAACTTCAGTTTAAAAACATGCGGTTTATTTTTGTTTTCCTCACGGGTAAACATGTATTATTTCATCGCAAAGTCCTGCGCTCCTTCGAAACCCAACAACACGAGAGAACATTTTCGGGCTGGCTAAAGCACGTACTGACGTCATGTCCTTAACGGGTATAACCTTACGTGCTCGCGTCTGGGAAGCGTGGGCGTGCCCGTGAGGATCATCCTCTCCGTGGAAGCCTTCAGACCTTCAGGTTTTGCTTTTATTTTAGGTTCTGTATCCTATATTATTAGGAATGAAAATAATAATAAAACAATCCATAATGATTCATGTTATTTTATAAATTACAAACACAGACACATTTTAATTAAGAAATACAAAAAGATAATAAACAGATAATATGGGGAAATTAATGATCACAATGAATTTCATGTACGTGTTCATTCACACATTCCTCAGTTGTTCAGCCTTTTAGTTCTATTTTAAATACACACTCACAGCTGTTTAAGCTAGTATGGATATCTGCTTTTTCCCAGTCTTGGATGTTCAAATTCTCAAAAAGCAGTGCCCTCAGAGATTTTTATCTGTCTGTCTCCTTTCCAGCTCCCCCAACATCACTACATAGAGACTAAAAGTATTTGTATTTGTGAGAAGAGAAAGGTCTGGTTGTTCTGCATCTTTTTTATGGTTATTCTCTCCTCCCACATGATCTCCAACGACAAATACATTTCTGTTGTGTAGGTTCTCATCAATAATCTCTCCATTCAAAAGAGCTTGTTGTTTGTCATTGTTGCCTACATTAACCCTCCCACACTACTGCTTTCCATTTCTTTTTTATATTCAGTGTTCCATCATTAAACTGCTTCATAATAATATGTCCATAATATCAACAGTAGTTTCAAGTAAAAGTGGTCTCATTATTGAACTTTTTCTAATAAGCACATTAAGTATTCACCTTTGTTGACGCCTTGTAGGGGCCAACAAGTGAACCAACAAGTATAGTAGTAATTCTGTTGGCAAAGATAATTCATTTGAAAACTCGTCCAATAGTCCGTGGAAACCTCCAACATGCAGACTTTAGAATCAGGAACTCACAAGCTGTAAGTCTTCCAACAGGTTTGTGATCAGAAAGATCAGAGCAACAGTTAGACCACATGGACCCATAATTAGTTCATGTATTTATGAAGTATTTGTTCCAATATATTGATATTGACTTCCCTGGAGTTAGGTTGTTGTGTTGTTATACAGCTCCCGGCCCCAGGAACCAACAGCAAAATTGGTCAACTCAGCAACACAGGTTGTGAACATGTAGGATTTTTTCAGCAACAGTTTATCCATCACCCCTAAAGTAGATCTTAATTTAGTAGATCAACATTTTAATGAAAAACCACCAGCACTGAAACACTACATCCATGTTTAGCAGCTCTGTGAGGCTGTAGCCAATATGCTATAAAGTATATGTATAATGTTTACAGTCTTTAGCACCTTAGTTTTGCACGTATTTGGTCGTAAGTATGATTTGCCAATTAAACATTTTGAGCTGATAATGGGGTAGGATGAAAAGTTAAGGGACTGGAGAGTTATTACAGTTCACTCTGAAGAAGACATGATTCTCTCAACCAAACTTCATGGCAATCCTTTCCAGAAGTCGAGTTGAGATATTTTTCTCAAAGCCACAAATATCAACCACGTGGTGACGCTAGAGGACAATTCAGGGAATTACCAAAGTCATAAGGATTCATCCTCTGGGCACCATAAATATATCTGTACCAACATTTCTATAGCCAATAGTTGGTGGCTAAAACGTTAATGTTGGGGTAAGAATACAAGTGGTCTGTCCCTCACAGGCAGGTACATCCAGTAAGCTCTTGAATTCAACAACATGGAAGACAGTAAAATCTGCTCAGATCAGCTGCTCCTGTCTAATAAAGGCTATAAAAGCCCAATAAATAATCTTCAAAAAACTGCATAATTACAGCGATAATGAAGGTGAGACTTAAAATCACCCAAGAATGCAGATATGACATCAAATCAAGTAAATGCATTATTTGATCTAAAATGATATAATATGCTTTAAAAAACATGTTTGTCAGGAATGTTAAGTATATCATACAGTGGGGCTAAAACACTGTTAAAGGTTGAGGGAGAACTGGGTGGGCAGGGATAACGGGTGGAGGGATTTGGCTCTTTAGCAGCGCTGGGGTTAGCTGCACGGCTTCAGTATTAGCTGGTGGAACAATGGACCCTCTCACCAGCCTGTTTACAGGACAAAATAAATCCACATAAGCAGTGAAACAGCTCGCCGGACGCCACACACTTCCAGAGGCTAGGCTCACACACACATCCACTTTTTGTCTCACAAATACAAACATTTCTATCTTTAGATCATTTTTTGACTGCTGATATGTCTGAACCCCCCCAACCACACACACTCTCTCTTTCTCTCTGTCCCACTCTCACACACATATGCTCATAATTGCAAGAGGAACAGGTGGAAGTAATGATTTAGAGATCTTTCTGGGTTTTCCGTCCCTCTTCTTAGTCTTTTCTTTTTATCTACAACCGCACAACATCTGTCTAACTCCCACTTGTGTTTGTATGTATCATGTATCATGTATGTATCATGTACGTGTCAACACTCCACAGGTGGCCGTAGTATCACCAGAGACGCACACCAATTGCACTTGGAATAACCCCCCCCCCACACACACACACAAATTAGTTTATCCTACCAAAACATGTACAGCTGTTAGTAGGCTATGATCATGTGATTATGTGTTACACACACACACACACACACACACACACACGATGAAGATGAAGTCATTCATTGTACAGAAGCACAGAATAGTTGGGAAATCCTATTGGGGGAATTTGTTCTTGCAAAATGATTTAAATAGAAAGTAGAAAGAGAAGAAATAAAAAGGGACAAAGAAGAAATCAAATCAGGCTGTAAGAAAAAGGAAAGAGGATAAACATTTCTTGCTCCTGAGAATCTCTGTAACTCCAGGACAGTCACAATGAAGACAGTTAAATAATTTAAAACTACACCAGTACTGCATTAGAAAGCTGTTTCATAGAGAGTTTTGGTCTTAGTCAAACCATCAACCCTCCTGAGGCTCATTCTCTGTGTGTGATTAACGTCAGTCTGTATCTATTAGAGCCGCCTCTGGGGAATGGGAGCAACAGCTGCTTCAGCTCTGTAGAGTTGAGATTGAAGCTATATGCTGGATAAGATCAAGACTGTGATGCTAAAAAGAGCAAATTTTCCTTGAAAGTGCCACACAATGAGCTTCGGTGGACGCAAGTGTTTCTTCTCAATGACGTGAGTACTTGGGCTAAACTCTTTCAAATTCAGCCTAGAACCAAACTCAGCTCTGCCTCTGCAATCTGTCAGTGTCTCCGCAGGAGACTGTTTCAAGATAACATATGACACACATACCCTGTCATATACTGATATTAGGAATGAAAATCGAGGTGTGGGAGGGCGGAGGGATGGAGAAGATAGATCGTGCGATGGGGTGAGGAAAGGAGATGGTTCCAGCCTTTCTAAGGAAACCCTAAATGGACGGAGGCAGATTGAAGAATTCCCAGATCCCGTGCTGCCTGGCAGATCGGAGGGATGAGACCTCGGGGTGATGGCTGATTTTAGAGTTGCGACCATATCTGGAAGGCTGCGGCCTGATATATAAGAGCATGGCCTCAGCTCACACACCCATATTCCTCCTGAGCGTACCTCAGCCTCCTGCACTGGTGAGTATGTGAGTCAAATACTGGGTTGTGTTTAACCGATGGTCAGCGTCCTTCCTCTTACACATTCATTTCTGCTTTCTCTCTGCAGCAGCCAGTAGTTGAGTGAGCTGGTCAGTTGGTTGGTGTGTGTTAGTGGCAGCAGCAGCAGCAGCCATGCCGGGTGCATATAAAGGGGAGTGCGGGGATGAAGTGGACCCCATGCCGTTCCTGGTTCCCTCAGAGAAGGAGCGCCTGGAAGCTATGAATAAAGCATACGACATCAAGCGCTCCTGCTGGGTCAAAGATGAGAAGGAGGCTTTCATTGCTGGGGAGATTCAGTCTGAAGATGGGGACAAAGTCTCCGTCAAGACCACCAAGAACACTGTAAGACTAACACTGAAGCTATTTTGTCTAAAATATTCAGGATACTTTTACATTTATGAAGTAAAAATGAGTTTCATCATAATAATGAAATGATTGATTGATTGAGTGATTATCCTTTCTGATCAGACTGTGGCCGTGAGGAAGGATGATGTTCAGCAGATGAACCCTCCTAAATTCTACCAAGCCAGCGACATGGCCAACCTCACTTTCCTAAACGAGGCCAGCGTCTTGGAAAACCTGCGCAGCCGCTACGTCAGCATGAGGATCTATGTAAGCCTGTTAATCAACACCGAAGATCTTACAGCGAAGATACAACAAAAACCTACTCAAAACCACGTCCACATGACACCTCGAGAACAGTAGAAAAACTCGTAGGGGCACTATATCGATTATAAGGATCACTTTATTCATCCATGAGAGCACTCCTCAGCCTATGAAAACAGTGGAGGAGCTTTGTTAAGTAGGATTTTAAATATTCTTAAATATCTGTCTCTCACAAGTCCTCCAGCTCTGTGGAAGTGAAATAGTAAATCCAAAATGAATATCCCTTTAAAGGGCACTCTGGGAAAAGTAGGACATCATTAGCAGAAGTACACAACTAGGCAGGCTTAACCTGGAAAGTGATGTTACAAAAGGTAAATGACACCACTTTTTCACACAATAACTCTTCAACTGTATTGAACATATGTTTACAATCAGATATCAAATTGTGGACTTTTCCCTGTGCTGTTTTGAAACATAGGTTAGAGACACAAGCTCACCATACAAAGATTTAATGCATAATGATTAATGGGAAAAAAGTTGAGATGGTTGATGATTTTAGACGCCCTATGACGTACATCGACAGCAGTCTTCAGGGAAAATACTGACCACATTTTTAAGAAATGTTCCACAACGCCTGCACTTGATACGCAAGGTCAACAATTTTGGAGTGAGCCAAAATACTTTGGCAACTGTGTATAAGAGTCTGGTGGAAAGCATCCTATCTTCTAATATAATCACGGGGTATGGTAATGTGAACACTAAGAGGAGGAATAAG